TGCCGCCGAAGTTTACGAGAAGAAGAAGACGATGAAGAAGAATAATATTGTGGTGGTGGTGACCGATGCAAGATGGACGACAGCTGACACATCTTGATGAATGCGACGGTGACGGTGATGCAGCGTATGCTGAGCCACGGGCTGTGAAAAGCCACCTCGTGAGGAGCAAGAGGAGGAGCAGCACGATCGCCGCAAACAACACACGGCCTGCTGGATGCTTTGCTGGCGGAATCAGCTAGCCGGGAGGAGTATCTAGTCTGTAAGCCAAGTTAGACGAAAGGAAGATGAACTTATATAGTTAGGGTCCAGGCTGAATATAAGAGGGGCTTGCTAAAAGAGAAATGTAACGCTGTTCGCATGCGATTGATTCTGCGAACCAGATTAAATGAGGCCTCTACATTCGTTTTAGCAGATCAACAACGAGCAAGTGCTAATGTCCGGATGCTTTGGCGCACCGTTTTGGCTGATCAACATCGGCGAAGTCCAAGATTCTATGGGCGTGCCGTGAGTCGGGACGACGTCTGCCCTGATCTGTATATCAGTTGCGGGCAGCATCTGTATATGTGAAACACGTCATGCATGTCGACAGAAATACACTAAGCACCCTCCCCTTGAATGCCACTCCTGGGGAGGGGAAGCACTGCTTAGCCGGGTACCCTTGTAACCCTGGCAAATCTCTTTCGCATGAAACCCGCTTAGCTTGAACAGCCCTACACACGCAACTGGTGCTTTAGGTTTTGGGAAACCCTTAACCCTAAACCCTATACCCTAAACCTCAAATCCTAAACCCCTAAACCTGGAGCTCTTTTGGCGCAGGTCCTCAAGGCCAGCCAGGGTTTGGGCTTGTAGTTTGGAGTGTGGGGTTCAGGTAAGCGCTGCAGGTAGGATGGAAGGTCTAAGGTTTAGGCTTAGGGTTTAGGGTTTAGGGTTTAGGGTTTAGGGTTTAGGGTTTAGGGTTTAGGGTTTAGGGTTTAGGGTGTTCGGAGTACGGCTTCGAAGAACTAATGTCAGCCGGCACAGCGTCTTCTCTTTCCGACCCACACCCTCAACCCTAAACCCGTTTTCCTGTTCCTCGAGTTCTAGATTCCATAATCCCAAGTACACCTACTAGCCCCGAACCTGCTTCTAAAATGTTGAAGGAAGTCGAGTCGAGCTGATTGAGTATGCTGCTTACAGGGTGAACTCAGAATACAGCCTATATGGGAGGTTCCGAAAATTAGGGGTACCTTATTTTGGGGTCCTTATAATAAGGATACTACTATTTAGGGTGCCACATTAGGGTCCCCTATTTTTGGAAACCCCTATATGCAAATTTAAAGCCTGGTTGTGGCGGGTAAGTTAAATAGAGAAGCGAAAAAATTAGCCAGGGCTCGTGGGGAAAGTGCTCCAAGTCCGCAGGACACCGGCAAAAACGACGGTGGATGGGCAACACTGTGCTATTTCCAGAACCCTTCCCTGAGTGGAAAGTGTTCCCAGCAAGCACATGTACTGTACCTTTGAGGATTCTAGCTCAGTCGTAACCCCAGCCCTAAACCGTATATATCCCCAACCCGCTGCCCTAGACCCTAAACCCTATGAGGAGTGATCTCAGGAACCATGATGCAAAGAGATCGGGTCACCGGCTGTGATTCCCGGACCTAGGGCTTAGTGCGTACGGTTTGGGATTTCGGGGTTTAGGCTTAGGGTTTAGGGTTTAGGGTTCAGGGCCGGAGACACATAACCCTAAACCCTGAGGGTTTAGAGCTTAGGGCTTGGGGCTTTTAGCTCAGGTCTCAGAGGGGAAGCTGCTTTTGAACTCATGCAGTGGAAGCGCTGGAGACGACGCTTCTCCGGCCAGGCACGACGCATCCAAGAACTCCAAACCTACATCCGGAACCCTAAACCCTATACCCGAAACCCTAAACCCTATACCCTAAACCCTAAGCCCGAAACCCGACACCCTAAGCCTGAAACCCTGAACCCTAAACCCTAAACCCTGAACCCTGAACCCCGAGTCTTCCTTCCTACACCCTGCCATGAACAGATAATCCTGGTGTGTTTACTTTAGGGGCCTGGGGGGCTTACCTTAGCCCCA